TGTTGGTTATATTTTTTTCTGAAAGTAAATAGCTCGAGCTCAGCCATCTTAGCTTGCAGAACAGGTTCAAAGTTTTACCGAAAGGACTGATTGGTCCCTAAGTAGAGTTTTCGGCTTTAATTAGTTGCAATTTGTACTCCTTGACTTCATTTCTGGTTACAAAATTCAATACACTGTCCAGCGGAAAGGTGACCGAAAAAATTGAGCGCACATTTTCAGATTAAACTAGATTCCGGGCCCTCTCGACTTTTCACGGACGGAAGGGACTGAGACCTTTTTGGCGTGTATTTGTCCACAAATATACTAACTATTCAGTACAATCTAATCTCCTTTTAGTTAGTACTCAAACTTTGGAAAAGAAACAGTGAATAAAGGTAACTGAAGATGTATGAAGGTGCAAGAAGGCAAATAAAAGTGGATGAATGTATATGAAGTAAAGGTGTTTGCATTTGGCCTCATCAACCATTATCTCATAAAAATCTCGAGCTCGTAATCTAATTGTGAAAAAGACGCACAATTCATTGGAAACTATAGAGCGCGTACGTTCCAGATGTTGGGTTGTTAGTTCAACCACCACCCCTACCCAGGTGGAAATATTTTTGTTTTTTGAGGCCAAGAAAAACTGCTCGAGCGTCCACAGGCAGTTTTTCCAGACCACAAGGGTACATTATTTTCTTAGAGAAATGGAAAATCATCTTCTAATTGGTAAGTTTTTGAAATTTATCGTTAATTTTGTTGTCTTCAAACCTCATTATCTAGGAAAAGAGAATTCTCTGAGAACAAATTTCAATTATCCCGAGCTTAGAAGACCAATCAGATAATCGCACTTTAACAACTGTTCGGGGCGCGGTCGCAGAACTTTGAAAATTTAGATGGTAAATTATTCATGTCGAGTTGTGGTCTTCCTTCGTACGTTACCCATGTTTAAAATTCAATCTACAGAAAGGGCACTTTTGTCCTCGCTTATGGCTACGACAAAGTATCAATCTTCAATTTGGGATTGTCCTTGAGTTTGGAGTTGTTTACGAAACACACGAATACCTGTTAAAAGAAGTGTACTCCGTTAAGCAAACTTTGAAAGCACGTGCCTCTTGTAAACCAAAGATATCGCAGTGCGTTTTATCAGTAAATGGCTTGTGAGTCCGGGGTGTTCAAGGTCGGCGGCTGTACACAAACATGTAATGTTATCTATTGATTTATTTTTGTAGTTTTACCTCGGAAAGCATTGCACAAAATCCGTTAGAAATCGTTCTTGTCACCAACAAGCGCAAACTTCATGCATAAGTAATTCGAAAACAAGTTTAATTATTCATTTGTTTACTTTTGTTAATATTTTCCGATCGTTTATCTTCTAGAGAAGAAAAATTGTGACGAAAAAGCTCAGTTTTACGAGACCATGACACCATCATGCATTGCAGGTAGGTTAAGTTCTTCATTCACAGTCTCAAAGAATCAATTCTCCTCGCTTACAGCCATACTTTTCTTTGAAGATAAGTTCTGAGAATTTAGTTTTACATCAAGACAACATCAAAAACTGTTGGAAAGCTGAGAAAGAAAGCCTTGTGAAATGCTACCTAGTTTTTCTTTAATTAGTTCGCGGTTGTTTTGTGTTTGGAAACAAATGCGTGTGGAATGCGCGTTTATCTTTTTCCCCGTGCGATCGCGCGTTCCCTCGCGCATTCCTGACTGTTCCGTTCATTCGTCCTTTTCCACTTGCTTTCCCTCCTAAATTTACTCCCTGTGTAATTCGCAACTTCCCCTTCCTTCACAAGCGTTTCTGCTACTTCGACACTTTGTGATGTTTAAGTGTTTTCCCCTTCTTTAAGCTTTTTTTTTTTTTTCTAGCGTGTTGCCCCGTTTTTTTCCAAGAGCATCTTGTTTTCCTCTCGTCGTGAACAGTGTCTATACGGCCAACAGGGTTTTTGTAGTTTGGTATCTCTACAATGTGTAAAAAGGCATTCTGAGAAAAAAAAAACATTGGATTCCGACATTTTAACGCCCTAAGATCTAGCTTTAAAGTTCCCGCTTCAGCCACGTCCAATGAAGTTGACCGTGAGTCAGTGCAAACGAAGAGTCTGGGTTTCTGAATGGGTCGTGACGTCATGTCATCCTGCTAGTTCAGGTCACTGTTGTTTCAGTAGTGGTGAGGAGTTTTCGTCGACAAAAACCAAACAAACCGAAGTTGGTGAAGCAACGCGGTCGTCAAGCAAGCAAAATAAAAACATGAAGCTTTGAGATGTTCCTGAAGTGACGTCATTCATCACCAATGTTTCATTACGCAGTCAACTTCATTGGGCGTGGCCGAAGCGGGAAATCTAAAGCTTAATTTTATCGTAAAAAAGTATCGGAATACATTTTTGTTTTGGTTTGAATCCATTTTTAGATGTTATAGAGATACCAAAACCACAAAAACCCTGTTGGCCGTAAGTGTAATTACAAGTTATCTCTTATTTTCTCTGCCATCGGAAGATCCCGGTCGTCAATGAAAACAACATAATAAAGTATTTTATTATTCTTTATTTACTTTATTGCAAGGGCCTCAAGAGATATTAGTTTTCTCATAGTTAATAGAGGGAAATGGTTATGAAACCCGGCAAAGTTCTTTGTTGTATGTTTTTGTTGGCCACCTTGGGGATTGACCCTGCACAAAAGCAGGCAAAATACAAAAGGTGGTTATGTGCGCTCATACAACTAACCAATAGAAGGTATGTAATTCATGCCTAGTCAATGAGCATAAAACAATAGATGTGCAGGGTCAAGGACCTTCCAAAATAAATCTTAGCCCGTTTGCTTGCTTCTTTTTTTTAACCATTTCCCTCTATTAACCATGGTTATATTTTGCAAAGACTGAAAACAAGAGAAACCGTGCACTGGTACAATAAGCATAAATTCAAGCAAAAAGGAAAAATGTTTTGTTTTCTTACCCTTATACTTGCGCAAAACGCTTGTGTTTATCTCACAAATGTGAAATAGGCTTAGGGTTGGCTAGGTTGTGGAGAGATTAGAAGTTTCAACTTTTGTTTATCCTCTAAAACTTAAACTATATGTACTTCTTTAAAATTTATTATTTCCAAAGCAGCATACATACAGTCTATGCATCATCCTTCAAATATTTTTACAATAGACCTCTCATTTTGGAAGATTTTCCCAAGCTGTCAAACGCCAAACTAATTCTGTAGGCTTTCAAAGTCTTGATACTGTAATCAGTTCAAAACATTCGGAACTACTGAAATAAGTTGACAATCAGGCCCAGGTGAACCTGTAAAATTTATTAAATTCCCTGTACATAGTCACGAAATTATGAAAATAAAATTGTATTACTACCATTTCCTCATTGAATAATTGTTATTTGTAAATAAATACGTTTACTTATTTACTTTACAATATCAATACCTTCATCAAAATAATTATCTATTTGGGAGGAAAACTGGTCAAACGAATTCAAAATCTGGGCAAATCGATTGCGGAATATCCGCGGATATCCCCTAATTTTGACAGTGCCACGTGACATGAATAGAGCACGCAAATTAAAATATTTGATAGTCCACACTGCACCGGAGGAATTTGAAAACAGAGGTTTCACTCTGAAAACGCATTAAATGTTTTCCGTCCACACCACGCCTAACTGTAGAAATAAAGCTGCGTTTTCAAATTCTCCGGCGTAATTTGGAAGGGGCGTTAGCTGGCGGATGAACTCTTGCCAGTCACTAACTATCTACTTCGTCGTCATCGTCATCAGTTTCTGTCAGCTCGGAGTAGCCAGCCACCCAGGTTTGCTTGTTGCCAGAAGCAAAAACACAGTAGAATATGGCTCCAACGATGTAGATCAATCCTCCAATGTAAAAAACCACTCTCCACTCTGAAGCACTCGACTGTAAAAAAGAAAAAAAAAATGATATAGCCATCATTTCAATACAGAGCGATTTTCATATGACCGTGAAATTATTTCGCATCAACGCGATCAAAACAACCAACGAACTAGAAGTAAACAATATGATTGGTTTCGCAAACGGCGGAGAACGAGTGCGATTTTTGGTTGGTCTAGCGAATACTCCGCAAAAGTACGAGTTGCTATCCTCTTTGACGCCAATCGCTTTTTGGGAATACTGACAGGTTAATCAAGCAATGCTCTCTCCACATGACGGATAATGTTATTTTCAAAAGGAAAATGAGCAACATGTTTCGTTCTTTCAATTACTGGCGAATGAAACAAAATCCCGAAAACACTTTTTTAAGGTCATACGAAAGTTGCGCTAACTGTCAAAAATTATTGCACGTTGAGTGGTCGACAATAAACTAAAGATTAATGAGAATATAGATTAAAATCTAAAGTCTACAGCCTATTCTTTACAACTATTTGAATTCTTGATTTTGCAAAGTGCTTGATCAACCCTCGAGGGGAGGGGGGGGGAACTCCCAATGAAAAGGTCAGGGATGTTCGTCGTCTCGCTGAGGAGTGTAACTCAAGGATTCTGGTCTCACTTAGGGTGTCGATGACGAAACGCCACCATATTTTAGCTGTCAAAATATCTTTTAGGGTGCACCTGAAAAAATATTAATAAAAGCAACGCTCTTATTTCCGTGTTGAGGCTCGATTTCCGCGGGTCTCTCGAGTTTAGTCTGCTAGCGCGGGCTCCTTTCTTGAACAGCAGCTGGTAATCGAGCCAATTCCGTTTTAAGTGGTATCTTTTAGGGATCAAATAAAGCTTGAGCCACGCCCAGATTGGTCTTCTTTAGGAGTTTAATTCAAATTTTCCGACGAGTATCCCCGACCTTTTTATGGGAGTTCCTCCCCTCCCGGTTTGATCAAGCGAGTTACAACATTACGCAGATTTATACCTGATGCTGTACGATAGCTCCAGTTAACAAGGGGCTTGCGATGCCCGGCAATGTGGCTACCATGTTACTGAAGCCCATAAGAATACCAGAGAAAGGCGCAGCAATGTCCAGATGATTGACAAAGAAGCCGCTGAACGCAAGTCCTCCTCCGCCAACAGCTAGCGTCAGACACACAACAGCTACTACCCAGTTATTTGTGTAGCCAGCTATGACTATACAAATACCTTGACAAACAAAACCTGGAAAAGAAGAACGACATTTAAATTATTCTTCGCGCAAAGCCCTGGAGAATTTTCTCTGATTCCAAAATTTGGGAACCTAAAAAACTTAATTCCTTTAAGAAGCAGTAAAAAAAAAAAAAATGTGTAAGCAGCACCTCTTAAGTACTTAAAATATAGTTAATAATAGTAACTTCTATATTTTCTTTAAGGTATTTCCAGAAACGTATTTTCAGTAATGTATTCTTCTGTAATGTACTTTTGTCCTCAATACCACATTTAGCTTAACATGGTGGTAGCCACCTCCAAAGCCAGTGGCTTCTCTGCTTACCTGCACATATATATTTTTTTACTCTTTCCATAGCCATACGTAACATATATTTCTCTCTTCTTTTTAGTTATTTTGTAATGCTGATGTAAATTAACTCCGTAAATAGCGTGGAACAACGAAGAGTTGCCAAACGTTGAAGGAGACTCTTTTCAACTCCCGTTTTAATCTGAGATGTCCTTCTAGTGGGCAATTAAAGAGCATTCGTGAGAAAAGTCTGTTTAGTTAACCTGACTTACCAAACGAGTTAAACAATTTTCGCACCACAGTTGTGCTCAAGATTTGTTTCCTTCTCAAACAATCTGCTATATGTCCACCTGCTTGTATTGTAATTGCCATGACTAGATAGGGAAGAGCTGATACAAAGCCAGCCTGTAAAAATAAGAATGAATTATTAATGTCTGTCAGCCTATTTGTCTGTCGGTCTGTCGGTCTGTCTGTCTGTCCACCTGTCCATCTGTCCATCCGTCCATCCGTCCATCCGTCAGACAGTCTGTCAGATGACAGACTGACTGACTGTCTGAGTGACTGTCTGACTGACTGATGGACTCACAGACTTACTGACCGACTGATAGACAGACAGACATACTGTCTGACTGACTATTTGAGTGACTGACTGACTGACTGACAGACTCACTGACTGTCTGACTCCATCGATTATTAGCTTATTGACTTGCTTGCTGGTTTTCGTTCATTCCAATAAACAGTTTTCTCTTTCAGACATTCTTCAAATACTTCCTTGGCAAAGTACTTCTGAGTTATTTATCATTGAAATCTATCTTTTTTGATTGATTTTATGGTCACAAATGCGACGACAACACAATAACTCTGTGCAATGTTAAAGTTTGTTCTCACCTTGCTCAGGTCAAAGTGAAGTCTATGTTTAAGGAAACTTGGCAACTCTGTCAACAGAGTGTAGAATCCCCAGTTCTCACTGAAATGAGCCACGACTATCGCCCATACAGGCAAGGAGGTAAATATAGCTTTCCATGGAACTTTCACATCCTGTTTGTAAGTAATGAAAGTACAGTGAGACATGAAAAAGAGACAAAGATGACATACAAATATTAAAACGGATATCTAATCCGAACATTGAGATCAGCAAAGGCTAATTCTTTTACAACACACATCGATATCTAATGTGAGCTAATCATTTCATTGTAGTTATGATCCATGCATGTACATGTACCTTTTTCTGGACATCATTTGCAAGAGAATTTTCAATGAATAGTCGTTCTTCTTCAGAAATATTTGGGTCTTCAGCTGGTGAATTTTTTACAACTAGAAACCACACGATGGCCCATGCTACACCCATGGAACCTGTGGAGAAATGAAATTGTACAAAAGTGAATCAAGAACTGTTCTTATTTGGCCTCAGTAGTGAGCAACAAAAATAAAGGTCAGGTTAAGAATTATGCCCAGAGTTGAAGTTAACAAACTGATTTATCATATTTCAAAATGCTCCTTATCTATTTCCAGAGGTCTATCCAGTTCAGGCTAAGAAATGCACCAAGAAAATGACATTTAATTTCTTTCCACTAGAAAGGTGTTTGGATATCTGATCTTAATAAGCATCTAGATTTTTACAATAATTTTTATTTCTCCGTTTTCTCCTTAGTTTTAGTTTTGATTAAGAAGATATTTCAAACACTCAAGACAGTGTTTCACCACATTACCAAACACCTCGAAGTTTGTCAAAAATACTCCACTGCTCATTGTATTTTCAACTCTCTTCTCTGTGTTTGGAAATGTGGTCAAACACGATCTTTCTCGTTGGATATTACTTACCAAACACATAGAAGACTGATGGCCACCCAAGATGTTCTGCTAAAACACCTGACAGCGGCATAGCAATCACTGTGCCAATGTGAGCTCCTGTTAGGAACACATTCAAACAAGTTTAAACTCCTAGCTGAAAAACAATTTCTACAGACAACTTATGAC